AAATAGGTAAAGAGATAAAGGATCTAAATGATACCATAAATCAAATGGACTTAACAGACATCTATAGAACTTTCCATCCCAAAACCACGAGATACACTTTTTTCTCACTCCCACACGGGAACTTCTTGAAGACTGACCACATCATAGGGTACAAAGCAAGTCTTTAAAGATTCATACCCAGCACCTTCTCCGACCATGATGGAATTAAACTTGAGTTTAATTTTAAGAGAAATCCTCAAAAATACTCAAATACATGGAAGCTGAATAACCTGCTCCTGAATGACTCCACAACTACTGAAGAAATAAAGACTGAAATAAAAAGATACATGGAAGCCAATGACAATGAAAACAACTCCAGGAGAAAGGAAATAATAAAGATATGAGCAGAAATAAATTAAATAGAAAATAAATGAACTATACAGAAAATAAAAGAAAGTAAAAGCTGGTTTTCTGAGATGATAAAAAAAATTGAGGGAACCAGCAGTTAGCGTAATGGCTATGTCGCTGAACTCCCACGTAGTCGACCGCGGTTCGCGTCTTGGACCCGGTGGCTTAAATCTCAAGCCGGGCGCGTGTGTGTGTGTGCCCAAGATCCCGAGAGGAGAATGGAGGAGAAGGGATTGTGGCGTGACCATCCCCCCTGGGGGGTGATTTCTCACTTTCTGTCTCTATGTCTCTCTCTGTCTGTCTGGCGAGCGCATGCGCCCTATAGCGAAAACCTCTCCAAAAAAAAAAAAAATTGATACACCACTAGTGAGACTTATTAAGAAGAAGGGAGAAAGAAACCAGGTGAATCAAATATGCAACGAAGCAGGCAAAATAACAACAGATATGGTAGAAATATAAAACATTATTAAAGGATACTATGAACAACTATATGCCAAGAAACAAGACAATCTGGATGAGATGGACAAATTTCTGGGCACATATAATCTACCGAGATTGAGCCAGGAGGATATAGACAGTCTGAATAGGCCCATAGCAAGTCAGGAGATTGAATCTGTAATAAATAACCTCCCAATAAAGAAAAGCCCTGGCTCTGATGGCTTCACCTCTGAATTCTACAAAACTTTCAAAGAAGAGTTAACCCCCATTCTGCTCAAGTTATTTCTAAAGATTCAAAAGGGTGAATCTCTCCCTAATTCAT